GCAGGCATTTATAGCTAAAAAGGTACACCTCATCCCGAGGGAATGGAGGAGTTGACAAGCAGAGAACGACACATCTGTTACTGGTACTTCCGCAGTGCTAGACACGAGTTTTGGCATCGCAGCCTCATCAATAGCATGATGCCTTTCGGTTCAGATAATCCCTTGCACACAGATAAGCCATTTTTGTGTTTCGAAACACAGTGCAGTGAACATCAGTCGGAGAATTTTATCACGTGACACGCGATGGTTTGTTTATTCGGCGTCGATTCCCTTACGTGTAGGGGTTTATCCTCATGCAAGAGATTGGTTGAACGAAAGGCATCGTGCTAGTAATAAGGTTGCAATGCCGAAACAAGTGTCCAAGACTGTAAAAGTGCCATAACAAACCTCACGATAAGCTTAAGATATGTTATCAGATTCTATATTGTTTTAGGCAGAGTCTATATAAAAATATCCGAATGTAAACGACACATACGTCTTGCACAGAGATTAAGTAGAACGAAAAAACAGAATGCAACGAAGAACGCTAATTCGGTCGGCTGGTTAGTGTAGATTTTTGGTCGACATCCGTCGTGTATCAATCACCAGCCCACTGATTGGAGAGCCGATCATCAAGCCCAACACTACGCCAGTCAACAACGAACGCCCTGTGAAACGCCACCGCCAAGTTGTCCTCGGGATTGCGAGGAGACGTGCTCAACTAGTATTCTACGATGTTCAGGAAGAAGATGGAAAACGAGTTGATTGCTAGTATTGGGATGCGTACAATAGATTGCGCTGGCGGGTCGTATAACCTCTTCAGGACCGGCGTTGATAGGCAAGCAGCGTCGCGCCGTCGCTTACGCGGCAGTCGCAAGAAAGATATCTGCATGTCTGTGCATGCATGCCTGACTGCCTGCTCCTGCTTTCCCACAAGATGCGCCTGCTTTTCCCTCAAAACGCAATGCCACCATTACAGTACCTGTGTGAGATTTGACGTCGCGCGGCACGGTACAACATGCACCGTTTGGTTCTTAGAGGGATAGTATAAGAAAAATTATACCAATTCATAACAGTTCTCATCTCGATAGATTTCGTCTTCTTCAGAGCTTCAAAAGGTTGGGTGAGTGCCGTTCATGCATCCATACACCTCTACAACCCCTAGCGGAAAAACCACGAAACCTAGGTTTGAGATTATGACAAAAACAGAGTAGAGATGTGCGTCTCCGGCGAGGGATATCGTTGATTCGTATTTCTCCAGAAGTTCCAGGTTTCGTTTAGATGACAACAATCTTTTGATTGGCCTAATTTCTTTTTTGATTTACTGCTTTTGTAATGATATACATTCAAGAAAGTCGAGTATTACACAAAAAATCGACGGCAGACTGGAGTTGAACCAGCGTCTCATCTTTACCAGAGGCGTGTGCTACCACTACATTATCACAGTCACCGCATTGCGACCACTACTTCTTCAACATAAAGTATCGGAGCTGTCAGCAATCAAAACTCCACGGGTTTAGTCTGGTAAGCAAAATCTTTAGGACTTTAGCACTTTGATTGATCCGTTATCACAGTGGTTTTTCACTGTGCTGATCTCAGTACTTCTAACGTTCAATCCGTTTTCGTCTTCTTCTTGAATGGCGTAGAACACTGCTTGAGCGAGTCTCCTTGCAATATTGAGAATAGCTTTGCTGTGGCGTTCCATAGGGTGTTGTTGTTGTTGTTGGCTACCGGAGAGAGGTGGGGGTGGAGCTCGACTCTATAGTCGCCGCAAAGAGCATAAGAAACCATTCGGTCATGGCGCCCCCAACCAAAATCTTGTAATTGCATTTCAAAAAACGGTTTTGTGATGGAAAAAAGAATCAGCAATAAATAGAAGTCAACTAATATGATTTTGCGATTCTTCGAACTACATGAGCTTCTCTGAAACTCATTCCGATGATGTATCTTTTCGTTTTTATCCCTTTGAAGACCAATGTTGACAAGCAGGCGGCGTCGTGCCGTCGCCTGCGCGCCGGTCAGGCAGGCGGCATCTGCATGTATACCTGGCCGTTTGCCTGCTTTCCCACGAGGCGCGACGCCGCTACTACAACAGCTGGGTGAGAGTTAACGTCGCGTGGTGAGCATTAGAAAGATCCTCATGGTTCCCAAGAGGTATAAAAAGCCGCGCTGATCCGAGGAAATGATCCGCAAGCGTTCGGCCCGCGCGATAATACAGTGAATAATCTTTCTACCTGACCCGAAATGACAGTTTGCTGTATCAATTCCAGAATTTCTGGCATTCGATTCGTTTCCCCGCATTTGATGTCCCACAATTCTTGAAAATCTTGTGTCCTACCGAATGCTGCTTTGAAACTCCGTCTTATCTATGAAATTCTTAACCTGCTGATGGTCGAGTGTCCTTCCTGACCTTTCCGGTCAAGGTGGACATAGAAGACCTTTGTTCACCGCCAAAAACATAACCTTTCTTTACTTGGATCAACAAAAGAAAGGCTGAGATTTGTCATGAGATCTGTAAACTTCCTCTTCCTCTGAATAAAAATATAAACGATACTTTTCCCTTATTCGCTCCCGGTCTCAGTGCTCGGAAAAACTTATTCTTCGGTGGCTTTTGAAGTCTGAAAACTTATTCGAGAGCGTAAACTCAAAAAATTTGAAAATGTGCTTTCTTTTCAGGACGGCCTTATACCGCGCTGACAGTAAAAATAAAACCATGCCTTTCACCCAAACATTTACTGTACAAAGTTTTTCCTTCAGAGTATTAGGCCTTCGATGGCCTAAATCTCGTATATTTCAAAGACGTATATAGTTTTTGCAAAATATTTCATTGTGCATCAATGTAACAATCAAAGACGATTGGGTTTCGCAGATTTGGCACCGGAAAAAGCGCGGTGGCTCAGCGGCTCGTTGCAAAATTCCTATCCTCATACCGGCAGTGCACGATGGTTTAGTGCCAGTGTTGCGCTGCACGAAAATTAAGATTCTTCTGGCTGCTACAGCGCATTAGAAAGTCCTCTCAAAAACTAAACATATCGTCGAAGTTCCCGTGGTTCAAGCTATGGAACGGTTACTAAAAACCTAAAGGAAAAGCTTTGTTCAGCAAGAAATGTTTTGATGAGAAACACAACTTTATTCTAGCGTTTCCTACGCAACAATAAGGCCGTTTCAAAGATAAAATAGATTTTGGAGTTTTTCGAGATTGAGCTGTCGGTTCGAATGACTACTCAACCTTCAAAAACTACCAGATAACAAAATCCAGATGTTGAAGAATGAGTGGTCGGGCAAATGTGCCTCGGTGGTGTGGTGGTTAGAGCACGCGTCCCCGGATAGGATGAAACGCGGGTTCGATTGCCGCCTGAGGCCGTGTTTTTGCTCACCACTCAATTCTCTAAGTTATATAAGTAACATCATAACACTGCGAAATAAGCAGTAGAAATACGATAATTTCGAAGTACCAGAAAACACGTTTCCACGAGTGGTGAACTGGAGGCGGATAACGGAAATGAATCAAGTAGTCATTACAGCAAGACAAAAAATCTTGCAAAGACCAAGTGGTCAGTCCGAAAAGGAAAATAGCACTTTTACCTTTAAGCGCTAACCCCGACGATCGCTGGCGAGAATCGACTGGTGTTCGAGAGACGGAACACTTCTGCGTCCTCAGCTCATCTAACTCCTTTCTCAGGGTTTGCATTTCAAAGCTTAAAAATACCAAATTCAATGTAGATAAGACCTTCTAAAATGTATTTAACTATACCTCAAAGTCCTGACTGTATCGGAGAGGAGGTCAAGCTCACGATGAACTGACTTCAGATGTCTCACATAGGCCAGAACTCCCAGAACTCCACATCCTGCAACAGTTGCTGTGACGACGACACCGCCAGTAATCCTTACAAATCGATTGTCCACCATCATACTTTTTCCTCCACTGAAAATTACACTATTCAACTACTATTCTAGTAAGTAAAAAATATCCGTACATCGTATGATAACAACATTTAAAGAGCAATAGTGAATTTTACTGAGAACTCAGAAAATACACTGAAAGGGTTAAACCACAAACAAGGCGAAAAATCAGTAAATGGTGTGTGTGGGTGAGGAGGAGGAGCAGGAGCAGGAGGAAGGGAAGGAACACAAGAAGGGACAGGAGCAGGAAAATGAGGAAGAGAAGGAGCAGAAGGAGCAGGAGGAAAGGGAGGGGAGGAGCAGAGGCAGAAGCAAGAGGAGCAGGAACAGCAAAACGAACAGAAGGAAACGCAGGAGTAGGAGTAGAAAGAGAAGAAAAGCATAAGGGAGAGACGCAGGAGAAGGGGAGAAAGAGGAGGAGGAGAAGTATGAGGAGGAGGAACTCCAGGAGCTAAAGCTGGAGGAGGTGCATCTGGAGGAGCAGCAGGTGGAGAAGCTTGGAGCGGAGCGGGAGAAGCTGGATGAGGTACATGAAGAGGAGGAGCAGGAGGAAGATGAAGAGCAGGAACAGGAAGAGGAGAAGGAAAGGGAGAATATTAGAAGCACGAGCGAGAGAAACAGGAACAGCAGAATGAACAGAAGGAAGAGATGCATGAGAGGCAGGAGAAAGAGTAGCAGGAGGAGAAATAGGAGGGAGAAGAGCAGGTGGAGAAGAAACAAGGGAGGAGGAGGAGGAGGAGGAGGAAATAGATGAGCCACAGCCGGAGGAAGAGAAGAGAAGGAGCAGGAGGAGAAGCTTGGAGCGAAGCAGGAAAAAAGGGAGGTGTACATGGAGAGAAAAAGCAGGAAGAAGAGGAAGAGGAGAAGCAGGATGAGGAGAAACTTCAGAAGAAACTGGAAGAGCAGGAGGGGCACGACGAGAGGAATACCATTGATTCTACGAATTATCAATCCAAAGATTGAACTCCTTGGAACACTTCCGACAACACTATCACCTCACCGCCGGTAGGAAATGGAAACGAAGAACGCCAAGTGGTGAAAAAACTATTTTTAATGGATCACAACGTGAGTCTAGCCCTTCTCATAACCTGTGTACTCATTCTTACTTGGCAACACAGGCGTCGGTAGCGCAACGGACTAGAGCAGGCGTCCCCGGATAGGGCAAAATGCGGGTTCGAGTCCCGCCTAACGCAAAAGTTTTGCGATCATCGTTGGGTACAATTGCTGCTTTGTTGTCAAGATATAAAACCACATTGAAAAAACTAGTTCTGAGATCAGATAACTGAAGATATATAGTTGTGCACATTGCACAGATCCGTTCTACGATGGCGGGAATTACGACGCTGCTTCGAATGATAGACGGATTTGAACGACCGTGGTTAGCAAGTAGGAGCAGCGTGTGTGGCGCAGTGGTTGGAGGTGTTCTGTAACCCTTAGGTGGTCGATCAATTATAGCTCTATGTTCGATCCCGTAATCGAGGTTCACCAATCGCTCTACCTCCCTGTGATTGGTTAGTCCGTTAGGGACGGCAGTTCATCGATCGCACGGCGACTCGCATGAGGCGCGCGATTTCCGTTATTCAATTAGGGTCCTCCATTTGGAAAACAAACCTTGATTTTTTTGCGTCCTTTAATACTCCATGGCTTTCTCTATATAACAATATGCTTTTCTTGCTTATATGACTTTTCTGAAAGGAAGATGAAAGATCACTTGGCGTTATTGAACGCGCAGTCCAGAAGTCGATGCTGAGAGTACCCCGTATCTTGCAAATGGGAGAAAGGATCCGAAATATCGACTTACGTCAGCAACCGAAGATCAGAGACGTTGTTCTACACTCCAGGATATCAAGAATAAGGTGGGCCGGACGATGCGCTTCAACGACAACCGATGGACGAGAGCCGTTACCGACTGGATTCTTCGGGACGTCAAGCGCTCTAAAGGAAGACCACTGACCCGTTGGTCCGATTTCTTCACGAAAGCGATAGAAGAAAGATATGATGCTCAGCGAATCCCTAGAGCGAGGAGGACCCACTGGACTACTCTTGCACGCGATAGGGAAAAATAGAAGTGTTGCTGGTACCCGTTCGAGTCACTCGACGATCAACTGGACGACAGGTGATAACTTTTCTCTACGAACAAAACTTTGAGTGCGAAACATAATCTTCCTCTCGCTCTTACAGCGCTCCACGCGAATCTTTCAAAAAATCAATTACAACATCGAAATCCTCGAGATTTGGGCTATCGAATGACTGGTAAGAGTTGGGCGAAAAACCCCTATACTAACCTCAGCCGAACAAAGAAATCTGAGTGCGGAACAAAATCTTAATTTTGCTGCTACAATGTAACGAAAAAGGCTTTTCGAAAATCAGAGATACTGTTGAAATCGCAAAGATTTAAGCTTTCAAATGATTACCAAGTGTCTAAGAGAAAAGTTTCTTTTTCAGCGAGAAAGGCCTTCAAACAACCGTCGCGTAATGGCAGCGGTGACTCAACACAATAGTAGGGCCACCGCGGTTACCCACAGTTACCCACCCACAGTTACTGTAGAGAGCAGATATCTAGTCAGTCACCTCAAACGAAGCTTAAGTTTGAAGACAAAGGCAAGGCGCATCATTCAGGGATTGATCAACGCCGAGACCCTAGGTGCGTTTTGTACTTTTGCAGAGTTAAATTCACAAACTACAAGATCTTCAGAACTGAAGAAACTGAAATCGAAGGAGCCGAACCAAGTAAGCAGATAATGGAGGTTCAGTGACCACAAGTACGTCCATCAAAAGCTAGTTCTTATGGAATGACTAGAGACGAAAAAGGAGCGAAAGTTAACCTCCATGGGACGACGTGTACCGCCTGAGGTACACAACTGTTCAAAGGCCTTTCTCGCTGGACACAACTTTTCCCTCAAACACTTGGTACTTCATTCGAAAGCTCAAATCTCTGTGATTTCAAGAATATGTTTGATTTTTGAGAGATCACTTTTATTACGTGGTAGCGGCGAAAATAAGATTATGTTTCACACTCAATTTAGCATATTTGCTCGGCTGGGGCATGTACATAGCTCTTCGTAAAATTCTTACTAGTCGTTCGATAGCCCAATTCTTGAGCATTTCGATGCTGCAATTAGTTTTTTTCTATAGGGTACCAAAAACGCTGTGAGGGCAAAAAAAAGCAGAAAAAATTTACTTTCCACACTCAGAATTTTTATCGTATAGAAAAGTTATATACGTTTTTTAGTTATATTATTTTATATTATGTTATATTACCATGTAGAGAAAATCATGGAATATCGCAGTCACGCAGAAAACCTATAGTTCTACCTTGCAAATGGAGGAAAAACTCTAATTGAATAACGAAAATCACGCGCCTTATGCGAGCAGCGCTGTGCGATCGATCACCTGTCCTCGCTAAATGGTTAAAGAAATAATGCCTCTTTTGTAAACCTCCTCAGAAAAAAGAACACTTGTTACTTTTACGAAGTGAAAGAACTCTTTAACCCTTTGGGTACGGCAGGGTCACGGCACTAGCACCGCCCCGCCGCCACGCGCGACAGCGAGCAGTCCACAGTGCCAAGTGGTTAGTGATGCTAGTCATCGGGAAGAAGGTTATTGGTTCGATTCCGTACCACAGCGCTCGACAGCAGACTTTTCGATTTTCATTAGCATTGAAGAATCTATTATAAACACACTTGTTATGGCAAAAAAAAAGCTCTCAGAAGTTAACAATTCATTACTTTTTGATACGAAAAAAACATTCTAGAGATATGAAGAATAAAAAGGATAAAGCTCTCGGCATTGATCAATCCCTGAGGGATACGCCATGCATTCGATTTCAGTTTTTAACTTCGTTTGAGGTGATTGAATGCATATCTGGCCTTTACAATGACTCGCGGAGGCCTCCCCCTGAACCGAGTCAGTGCTGCTTATCCTCCCAGACAAGAATGAGACCTGTCTGGTACCGGTTTTACCGACCCCGGAGGGACGGATGGTTTGGTGAGCCATGAGCGCGAGATCGAAACATTGACCTCGTGTGCGTCGCAGGGTACCTCTAACCACTGCGCCACAAGCGCTCTTTCTAGAGATATACGGTTAGGAAAATCAGTCGCTTGTGTTACGGTGTTTCAACAAGAGATACGGTGTGTTGGAGATATGGTGCACACTGCAGAGCAAAAAAAAACATAAAAAAATCTTCCTGTGAAACGTCGTGGAAGGGGACAGAACCTTCGACAAGATTCTTCCCGATAACCGGCATCACTGAGCACTCGATAGGATCTCCAACTTTCTTCGCTCTGAATGGCAATCTGGGAGTCTGTAATGTAATTCAGTCTAGCTTAAATCTATGTGATCAATCACTTGTTTTTTATTTGCTTCTTATCTGAGAAGACTGAGACAGACAACGATTCCCGATCGAGCGGATGGATGGCAGCGCGAAGGACCGTCCAGCGTTTCCACACTGGGGACTAGAGACGCAGAGGGCGTGGGCCCACGGCGGTCCCGAAAGGGTCAAGTCGTGACACAAATGATATAGAATATGTCTGATAATATCGTTCCGCTTGAATAACGCAGTATACCATTCTACAAGTTGACAACTGTTCTTCACGAATGCGATCGATACCTATGAAATACATAAGAACACCCATAAAATAAATTGATGTATCAATGAGTTTACATATTTGTCATATAGCGATCATCCAGATAACCCTTTTTATTACACGACGCTTTCAAGGTATAAATCAACACAATGTAGTCTTCAAAGAGTTATACGAAAAGCTTTGTGTATCACATGAAGCGAATGTTACGTTAACCCGTTCGGGACGGCGTGTACCTGCGGTTGTACGCGAATAACTGAAAGGCTTTCTCTAGACTTTTATAATTATTCGAAAGCTCAGATATCTGCAATCTCAGAAGTGCGCCCGATTTTCTATAATAAAAAGCTTTTTAGAGCACTGTGAAAGCAAAAACAAAGTTATCTTCCACACCGATTCCTTTGTTTGCTCGACCCGTGCCCTGGGGAAAGGTTTTTGGCTAACTAGTCATTCGATAGCCCAAGTCTCGACAATCTTAAGATTATAACTGGTTTTTAGGAAAGTTTTTACGAAGCGATGTAAGAGCAAAAAGAACAGCACGTTTCATAGTAGGAGTTCTCTTACACATAAATACTGTGTATGCACGAAAAGCGTATTAGCTTGTAGGGAAGTTCAGTGTCAGAACAATAGGCAGAACCTAAATTTCTTTTCCTCAAAACGAAGAAAATCCCGTTAAGAACCAGAAATCGCACGCAGCTCGCGACTGCGGCTAAGTTTTCAACCAATTGCCGTTTCGAAAGGGTTAATCGACCTGAAGGCTACGATACACTGAACACAGCAATAGAATTATTTAATGAACACGGAACAATTAAACCACAACAAGCGCCGAAAGCATGGTACTGATACATAAGGAAAATTAGGGAAAAGAACGACGTTTAGATGAGATAAATTGAATTTTATGGTCCAAATCCGAGTTTGCACGATAGAATATCAATAATACTACGCAGAGATTGAAGAGAAGTTGTCAGCTGATTGATTGATGTGCTTGAGCTTGGTACGCCTCTGTATGAATGTACCTCTGAAAGTCCTCCAACTTCTCTGATGAAGTGTGTCATGGGGGAGCCACCACGTTGCCGAAGCCGTGACGCACCTCAAACCTGGGTAATTAAACTACTGCTGTGACGTTTTTAACATTATGACAACGACACGGCTTAATTGAAGGTTCAGGCGTATGAATCACATAAATGCCTCATTAAACACTCCGTTGGGACGACTTAGAAGATAAACGAGAATGCGAAGGGATGATGTAAGATTAGGAAACAGTAACGTTGTAGACAGCCAGCCACGAAGCACGACCAAACAGCAGGCAAAAGATGAGCAACGTCTTTATCCATCGACGCCCTGCTACCTGCTCGCACCCCGCACCCAAACAGCTTCAAGTATTTCCCACTCCTCGTCGTCACCCCTAGTTCTTATTTGACCTCCAAATATCCCCAAAAGATTAGTCATTGAGGCATGGATATTTGTTACGCCCAAGCCTTCCTTCACTAGCGTCAAGTCAATGTAACGATGGTGCTATCGTTGTTAATGCCGTGATTATGCATACCAAAGTTCCATTACCCAGGTCTGGGGTCACCGCAACAATCATCAGTCAACTCCAACTTCTCTTCAGA